GACAACTGAGCTCTGCATGGGTTGTAGTTGGATTATATGTTCAGGGCTGTTTGTGATGGTTGCAGACCCCTTGCAGAGCAACAAAGATGTAACCAGAGCAGGTTGCAGCTGTGGGCTCTTCCTTGTTACTTAATTAGATTAATTATAGTTTTGTTGCCACACATTCTCACTCAATCATCCAACCGCATAAACCTCATTAGTTAATACATGTTTTTATTGTCTGCACTTTTTATGAATGTCACGCGCACGCACATACAAGCAAACACGCAGGCACACGTGCGCACGCACACACACACACGCACACACCTCCAGAGCTTCCCCAGGGTCTTGCTGAGCTCCGCGTTGTGCAGGTGGGGGGTGTTGGGTCGGCCAGCTTCCTCCGCGCCGCCTGCGCCCACACCATGAAGGCGTTCATGGGGCCTCTTCACGTGCGATTTGCTCTTGCTTCCCGTGCTCACGCGCACTGGCACGGGCACGATAAGTCCAGTCGTAGCAGTTGAGCACCTGGCTCACACCGCGTCGCGGATCCCGGAGGGGAAGCGCTCCTCTTCGTCGTCTGATTTAATGGAAGAGCATCCCGCATACGCGTCGTCCAGAGCCGCCAGCTGTGGCTGCTGCCCGGGAAGGGGTGAGTCGCTCCCGCCGGCAGCACCGGAAGAGTGACCCGGTGACAGAGACCGGCTGTCATCTGACATACCGGGACTGAGCTCCACCTCGGAATACCTCTCCTCTCTAGACATCTCTCTCTCTCTCTCTCTCTCTCTCTCTCTCTCTCTCTCTCTCTCTCTCTCTCTCTCTCTCTCTCCCTCTCTCTCTCTCTCTCTCTCTCTCTCTCTCTCTCTCTCTCTCTCTCTCTCTCTCTCTCTCTCTCTCTCTCTCTCTCTCTCTCTCTCTCTCTCTCTCTCTCTCTCTCTTCTCTCTCTCTCTCTCTCTCTCTCTACCGGTGCGCTCCTGATTCTCGGTCTTCTAGCCCTCAGTTACGCACCGAGTGCCTGACGTGTCCTTCTTGCCTCCAAGTTATAATATAAAATGCCAATCTGTCTCTACTCTCAGCCTCCGCTGCAAAACTCTGTGAGGATTCCACATTAAAGTTATTTCCATCCGGGTTGTTGGTATCATAGGCGGCTCAGCTCGCACCTTGGCCCCCAGTTTACCTGCAAACGGAAAGCGGTCTGCGCCAAATTCACCCGGCCTCACTTTCCTCTTGACCCTCTCTGCTCCGTTGCGCGGCTGAAATCCAACCGTGCCGACCTGGAAGATGGAGGATAGGTTATCTTTATATCTCCTCATATGTTGGGTCACGTTATTATTATCAGATATAAGAAGCGCAGATTGTAAAATAACACAACATTAGACACTAACAGCTACAGTATTTGCTTTATTCCCTAAACGTCAGCAGTTCTGAATCCGTAAGTCAGGTAACTCGTGCTTAAGAGCGCGTGTGAGCAGATCTTGAAATTTTGCTTTGATAATTAAACTGGCAGACCTGTTAACCAAATAACACACTGCTTTGTTTTCTACATTGAATTCGCAATACGGAGACCTTAGCGCGTGCGCTACGAACATCTAATGAGTGTTTCTGGGCTTTGAGAGGAAAGTTTAACACCAAGTAACTTCACCCAGCCTTCTTTAGGAGAAACATCCCACAAACAGCCTCGTGACCATCACGGTTTTGAGTGTTTTTGCTGATCTAAATGATAGGTTTACTTTTACTTCAACAAAATAAGTAAGTATTACATTACAGAGCACGTCTCTGGAGAACCCCTTCCATAAAGCCACCTTTTAAGTGGCTGACAAGAGTATTCGTTTCCAGAAGGGTAATGGGCAACGCTTTACCACCTGTCCACTTGTGATATTCGCTTGCCACCTGGTCTGTAAGGCTCCCCTCAAGTCTCTAGAGATCCCTGTGCGTAAAAGCCGTGCGTAAAAGTGCAAAATTGCACTTTTAACGCGCTTCTGGTCACTGTTAAGAAATAAGAAGCACTGATGGAGAAATATTTTAACGTTCCTTTTAATTATAAACAATGTGTATCCTTCGTCACATGACGAGCATGCGTATCCGCGCCTTAGATGTCTGGTTCATTATCAGGCTGTTACATAAATTGGTTTCGACACACCCTTTAGTCTTTGCTTGTTGATGTTTTTGTTTCTTTATGATTCGGCTCCTGATGTACCGTGCGTAATGAATTCCAGCGATGCGGGCTCATTATCACCGCCTGACTTGCCAATAAGTTGGCCTTAATTTGCTTGTGCCAAAGTTTGTTTGTTTGTTTTCTTTTGTTACGCTTTTCCTGCTCAGTAGATACCCAAGGTGCAGTTGGGGGAAAATGCAATAAATCAACAATACATTTTAAAGTCTTATCTTTGTTTTCTAACAAACTTGAAGCCTTTCGAGATCGAATCCATAAAAAGAACGACCCAAAGTCCGTTTAAACGAGCCTGTCAACCAAAAGATGCATTAAAACAGAATCTATCCGAAAATGCGGATTTAACTGTTTTAATCTATAAAAATGATTTACTACAAAAACAGAGTAATCACACACTTTTAGGACTTCTGACAAAGAAACGCAGCAGATCGGTAAAATGTTCCAGTTCAGACAAATCCATTTAGACCAACACAAAAGCCCAAACATCCTAAAATCAGCCGCGTTCATGAAGGATCAAATCATTTATCACCCAGAAGTAGCTCTAATTGTTATGTTTTTTTTTTGGGTGAGAACAGCTCGTGGAGTCCGAGCAGCAGCAGCAAGAGGACAGAAATGCCATAAGCGCCTTACTTCAGTAATGAGAAAAGGAGGTCGCCGGTTTAGCACGAGAATCCGTGAGTTTCCAGAGTGACGCTCGCTCCCCAGCCCCCTCGCTCACGCAGCCCGAGAATGAATGCCTGCTCTGTGTCCAGCCAGGGCTTAAAGAACCCCTTGTGTGAGGCTGAGGGGTGAGGGTGGGGGGTGGGGGGTGAGGACCAGTCTTAAAGCAGCAGTGCACATATTCAGAGGGATTTTATTGGTTGGATCTATCTATCTATCTATCTATCTATCTATCTATCTATCTATCTATCTATCTATCTATCTATCTATCTATCTATCTATCTATCTATCTATCTATCTATCTATCTATCTATCTATCTATCTATCTATCTATCTATCTATCTATCTATCTATCTATCTATCTATCTATCTATCTATCTATCTATCTATCATCTATCTATCTATCTATCTATCTATCTATCTATCTATCTATCTATCTATCTATCTATCTATCTATCTATCATCTATCTATCTATCTATCTATCTATCTATCTATCTATCTATCTATCTATCTATCTATCTATCTATCTATCTATCTATCTATCTATCTATCTATCTATCTATCTATCTATCTATCTATCTATCTATCTATCTATCTATCTATCTATCTATCTATCATCTATCTATCTATCTATCTATCTATCTATCTATCTATCTATCTATCATCTATCTATCTATCTATCTATCTATCTATCTATCTATCTATCTATCTATCTATCTATCTATCTATCTATCTATCTATCTATCTATCTATCTATCTATCTATCTATCTATCTATCTATCTATCTATCTATCTATCTATCTATCTATCTATCTATCTGTCTATCTATCTATCTATCTATCTATCTATCTATCTATCTATCTATCATCTATCTATCTATCTATCTATCTATCTATCTATCTATCTATCTATCTATCTATCTATCTATCTATCTATCTATCTATCTATCTATCTATCTATCTATCTATCTATCTATCGTTTAAATCACGTTTTGACATTAAATGCTGTAATTGTAAAGTTGTAAACTATGTGTAAAAGAGTTAATTTACATCTAGTTAAGGACCCGTGAGACATAAGATTTCATAGTAAATATGAAATCAATCTTACGGATCGTTGGGTTATTTTAAACAGCAGATTGGAACTTTTTATTGCAGGGATTACGTAACACTTGTGTTAAGTCAGAGACAAGAGAAGAGTAATTTAAAATGTTTAAGATTTATTTCTAACAATTTAAACAATTTAAACAAGGCTAACTCTAAGTGATGGATGGATCTGGTGTAATGAGACGTGAGATGAATGGTGTGTGTGTGAGTGATGTTATTATCAGAACTCTCATATCCGGAGAAGCAAGTCTGAATGATGTTGTGATGTTTTGCTTCTAGCTATGACCAGAGCTTGATCGGAGTTTCATAAACACATGAGACGCCATATTGTCGCTCCACCCATACCCGAGATGAGACCTCCATACAGATCCAGAATGCCAGGTCCTCAGACCCCCCTTTCGGTACCGGAGCCGATGAAACAGCGTCAGCAGTACGACAGACTAGTCTTTGGATTGTCTCCAGGTAAAAAGCGACAGGTGGTTCACAGCGTCAGATGGACCCCCCTTGGGTCAGTGAGTTCAGCTTTTATTCTGAAAGGAACCGTTGCTTGGTTGGTAAAATGCAACAGAATTTATCCAGCTTGTTGGTGTTCGGCTTAAACAGGAAGTACGGATGGCCGGTCCGATACTCCGCTTTGCACGCGGTGAACTCCAGTGAGATCTTGAGAACTGAACTAAGATGGCGTGGGGACTAGTTTTATCAATCTGGATGTTTTGAATTCTGGTCGAATCAAAGTTGGCAGATTTATAAACACCACAGAGACTATGCCACGCTTCAGAAAGGAAGGTTCTGATTGGATCAGTAACAGCAGTGTGTCATGCGTTTACATTACGTGTGTCAGTGTGTCTGGTGCACTAGATTAAATTCATATTACTTATTAAAGCATATTAATCACAACATTGTTATTTCACAGATCGATCAACATTATATTATTGACTAACACTTTGTTTGATTAGCTTTATTAAAAATAGAGTTCTTTGATTTATTAAAAGGAAAAAGTCTTTTATCTTCATTCTTCTTTTGAGCTGGAAAGGAAGCAGTTTTAGAAGCGAATGCATGACCTTGATGCAGTCTCATGCAGCTTAGTACTGTGTCAGAGGCATCTGTGGAGAGAGGGTAAATAACCTTCGGAGGAATAGCTCCTTCATCACGTTACATATGAGAACAAGTTAAATTTACCAGTGAAACTTTGAAAACTAGAATCTGGTGCAGAAGTTATTCCATGTCAAACTGTGAGACAGACTCGTGCTAATCCAGACATTTCAGCCTTTGTTACAGTTTATCTCAGTTGCTTTGGTGCATTTCTCAACAGAATTGATCTCTGCACCACTACTAAGGCTCTTCTCAAAACAATTAGTGCAAAGTGCAAAACATGGTGGAAAGCTTGCAAAGGTGAGTCACTTCAACAAAAAGAAAAGTCAGTTGCTCAAAAGCAAGTCCCTTAATCAAAACAGATAATATATGCATCAAAAGCAAGTACTTAGATCCAAGTGTCAGGGCTGTCACACTTACAAGTCAGTACACCAGCACCTTTGGTCACAAAATCAAATGGTTTGAACATGTTCTCATTGTGGCGGATTTCTTTGTAGGTGCTTCCCAATGACATGTCAAGTCTGGACAGCATGCATGGCTTGTTGAAAACCATCAATTGTAAAGGAAAATCCAGACACTTCATATGCACTCTTGATAATATTTAACTGAAACTGTTCACAGCATTGTACAACTGGGGAAATACAGTAAAACAAACATTTTACAGCAAACATACTCACTTAGACAGTAAATCTTACTGCAGTAGTTATGAAACAAACAAAAAAAAACTGAACAGACACTGCTGCGTATCAATCATTGATATCTACACGCTCCCATCTGTCTGCCCACATATTTTCATCAACATCACAGCGAATGTCAGCTCCATCGATGCATCGGGGAAAGTATCTCCTGGAGTGTCGAATCCACCCTCTGCAGGACTCTGCTGTGATGTCATCACAAGCTGCATCCATGGCTGCTAGCAGGGTCATTTGGGCATGTGGATGCCTGTCATATACCTTCCACCTCCAGGAAGAGAAAAACTCCTCAATTGGATTTAGGAATGGAGTGTAAGGAGGAAGAAACTCCATAATCCAGTCGTGTGCTGCAAACCACAGCAGAGTGATGGAAGCTAACATTATCCCAAACCACTACATACATTGTCCGATTGTCTCCAGGATCATCCCTTTCCTTTTGTGGGATTAGGTCCCTATAAAGAGCGTCCAGAAAAGCCAACAGGTGTTGTGTATTGTATGCACCAATATGAGGAATATGGGTGTGAACGCCATTTTCTGAGATTGCTGCACACATTGTAATATTTCCTCCTCGTTGGCCTGGGACATCAATGGTGGCTCATTCTCCAACGTGATTTCGTCCACACCGTCTGCCTTTTGCGAGATTGAATCCCGCTTCGTCAAGATATACGAACGTGTGCAGGGGTTCCCTGGCCTCCAATTCCAGGATACACTATACAATGGATGAGAGTAAAAAAAGTCTGTAATGGTGCATTTGGCACAACAGATTGTACAGTTTAAATTGATTACAGTAACATGCGTAAAAGTAAGTGCAGTACATGGCCTACACTTTCACAGTAAACAGAGGTACATATGCAAACATGTTTTACCTGTACTTACTGGTGACGGAGCTCCTTCACTCGATCACTGTTCCATTCAAATGGTACTTTGTACAATTGCTTCATGGACATTTCATTCCATCTGAGGACTCCGTCTATGGTGGAAATTGATATTGACTGAATATTTCCGAAGATGGTGTCATCTTCTACGACAGTTCTTTGCATTTCTCTCAGTCTTATAATGGATTAGAATTACATTTAGTTAAGGACCAAAATACTTTAAAGATCAATATCTAGTATGAATCCCATCTTACGGACACTGGGTTATTTAAATCAGAAGATTGGATCTTTTTATTACAGGGACTTTCTAATAATAACACTTTGCATTAACTGAGAGACAAGAGAAGAGAGAGAGAGACTTTCAAACGTTTAAGGAAATTTACTAAATTATTTTAAACAATTTAACAAGACTAACTCTCTAATGATGAATGTTCTGTTGGAATGAAATGTGAGGTGGTTGGTGTGTGTGTGAATTATGTCAAGTTCCTAACTGATCAAGTTTGAGCCCCTTGGTCATAAACACATGAGACGCCAGTTGTGTCGCATCCGCATACCCTTCAGTGGTACTGGAGCCAATGGTACAGCGTCACAGCACGACAGACTAGTCCTTGGATTGTCTCCAGGTAAACAGCGACAGGTGTTTCACAGCGTCAAAAAGGGGACCCTCCTTGGGTCAGCGAGTTCAGCTTTTATTCTGAAGGAGCCGTTGTTGGTTGATAACGACAGATTTTTCCCAGCTTGATAGTTCTTAGCTTAAAAATAAAAGTATAGATGGCCTTATCATGTTTTTATTTTCAATATAGGGCTATTTTAATTTTATGTATCATGTGTTTTATTTATTTATTTATCTTTGCTGTTTTCTGTTTAGTCATTTGTTTTAATGTATTTTCTGTACAGCACTTTGTTCCTGTGCTGGGTCTTTTAAAGTGCTTTATAAATAAAACTGGATTGGATTGGATTTCCATAATTCACTTAACATGCGGTGGACTCCAAGGGATCTTGAATACTGAACTTAAAATGGTGTTGGAGCTGTTTTATTAACCTGGATGTTTTTGATTCTGGACGAATCAAAGCTGACAGATTAAATAAACACCACAGAGACTCTGCCACGCTTCAGACTAGGAAGATTCTGATTGGATCAGCAACAGCAATGTGTCATGTGATTATTTACCTTAGTGTATCAGTGTGATGATATGAAACA